AAAAAAAAAAATATTACTGTCACCGATGCTCATATATCACAGTTGTTTTTTAAAAGCTACAGTAAAGGGAGAAACTTTTTTAAGATTTCTTCCTTTCTGGAGATCTCGAAGTCCAGGAGTATTAGGAGAGCTGAGATTTACAACAAGGTAGTCTACGAAAGGTCCAAAATAATTGACACCAATTTCGTAATCAGTTCCTGGATCTTCTGAATCCTGAATAAAAGACTCAATAGTTTACAGGTGGTTGTCTAAAGTGTATAATATGAGTGATAAGGACAAAAGAAAGATACGTTAGAAGATATTATTGTAAACACAAAGAACCTTATTCTTTCCTAAATTCACACCAAGAGGAACTGAAGACCCTACTGTAGAAAATTTTTTAACGTTTGTGAGAACCCTGCCAACACCAGCATTGTTAAACCCGCACCTGTTAATAACCGCCTAAAAGAAATAAGATGCTGTTGAAAAAGCGGATATACATAATACGTGCAACAAAATCGTACAGAATGCTCCAACGCTGCTAAAGGAATAGTTCAGAAAGTAAGATGTCAGAATGTCTAAAAAGTCATCTAAAATTTCAATGCGGAAGCTATCCTCAAAGAGTTATGAAAATAGTTTTTATGTCCTCAGTTAAGCTTTAATAACTGCAAATTAATTAAGGCGATTAAATTTTGAAACAACCTTACTTCGTCTTCTAAAAGCCGATAAATCCTTGGAGCTGGGTTACCTTTTTGCGGCAATGGAGTAACAGATCCTATCTCGACAAAACCAAAGCCACTCTTACGCAAATTTTTTATTGCAACTCCGTCTGAAACGTCAAAAGAGAAAATAAAGAAGTACCTAAGAGTTTACAAGAAGGTCAAAGGAAAGACACTGTGGTTTGGAAAAAGGTAAAAGTCGAACATAAAAGATACGTGGTAAATCAAAAGATTTTTTAGAAGAGTTTACAGTGAGATAAACATATCTTGTAGAAATACTTCATTGCCTGGAAGTAATAAAAAAAAAAGGGATGACTAGAAAAAAAAATACTTTTATCAAATCCTGCAGCAAGGCCGATAGGATTCTTAAATGTTCTACCAAAGACTTTACACTCCAGTTCCTCATATTCACTATAATTGGGACTTTTCAACGGCAAAAACCCGTACTTTGCTGCAGCAAGTGCCAATCGATGTGCCTTTTCGCAACCAAACACTTGATGAATGCAAGGAACCAACTGTAAAGACAAAATTAGTTTAAAAGCAACGAAACTTTTCACCTTCAGTAGTTTTAAAGATGAAAACTTGCTGCCACCATCCAGTCCCATTAGGTGTACTGAAAATAACCTGGTTTTTGTAGAACAGTTCGTTACCAGTCAAATACTGGATGGCGCTATAAAGGAAGGCCCCAGAAGCAGTAATAATGAAAGTTGATTTTGTAATATACCTGAATTTTCCCACCTGAATATGACAAGGAAGACCTGAGAAAACAAAAGAAAGAACTTAAAATCAAGCAGAAGAAATCAGTCTAACCCCGGGGGAATTCGGTCATACATAACTTTTACTCCTGCTTTCTTAACTTCTCCAACTTATTCACAAAACAAGTGAGCTGAAATTACCATTACAAAATTATGCTGACAGAGGAATATGTAAGAAAAATGCAGGTACTTGTTGACAGGATATACATAAATAAAAAAGTTAACAGCATAGTTTCCGCCAAGGAAAGCTAATTTTTATCTTATTCGAAATACATAATTAGGCAAGTTAAACTTGACAAACCTCATCCGCTGTAAATTCGTAAACCTTAGTGGGATCGTTTGCAAAATGAAAGCAAAGCTGAACTATAGGTTTGGCAGTTTCAACTGTCGTGTCACAATTAAAAACCAACTAAAAAAAGACAAAATCAAGTTGTGCAGACAACTGAAGTAAAAACTTGATATATGAAAGAAAAAACATCCAAAAAACATACATTTAGATGATTTTGTTTTCGTTTTTAGCTTAAAAGCGTCAGATCATAAGAAAAATATTAGCAGCTATTAGATTCTAGCCTCAGCTTTTTTCTTTCAGAATACAGTTGCTGCACAAAAACAGACTACTTCTCATACTACCCCATTAGCTCTATCAGTTGCAAAACTTCAAGTTTTTTCAAAAAACGTTTATAAAGTTGAAGAGGAGACAGCCATATCTGAAGTGTCATGTAACCTCCGCAAGTGGATTAAGAAACAAATGCAAGATCACCAGATGAAGCAAAGAAAGGCAAGGAACAATTATATACAAATATATCCGACAGCGAGAAATAATACTTAGAACGAATAAATCCACTTCCCGACTACTACAGCTTATTCTCAAGTACTCGAGCTAATCAAACAACACAGTCAACAGAAGCATAATCACCCGACATGTTTAATACTACTCCAATATATGTAAAATTTGAAAATAAACTTTTGAATTCAGAAGAAACAACGATTTGATCCATCATGTATTCAGAATATCATCCGG